TTAAATGTCGACGAAAATTTAACACTTTTTTTCAACAGTTAATTACAAGAAAACGGCTCGGTAGATTTGCACCTAAAATTAATCAGTACCATTCCCAACTAATATCTTTCGAACAGTTTTTGATTTTTTAAAATCGGTTCGGTAGGATGAGCTTAAATGTCGACGAAAATTTAACACTTTTTTTCAACAGTTAATTACAAGAAAACGGCTCGGTAGATTTTCACCTAAAATTAATCAGTACCATTCCCAACTAATATCTTTCGAACAGTTATTGATTTTTTAAAATCGGTTCGGTAGGATGAGCTTAAATGTCGACGAAAATTTAACACTTTTTTTCAACAATTAATTACAAGAAAACGGCTCGGTAGATTTTCACCTAAAATTAATCAGTACCATTCCCAACTAATATCTTTCGAACAGTTTTTTAATTTTTAAAATCGGTTCGGTAGGATGAGCTTAAATATGGACGAAAAGTTTAACACTTTTTTTTCGAATTACAAAAAAAGCGGCTTGTCAGATCGTTGCACAAAACTGACAAACGATAGTCCTCACCGAAATACATCAAATGGCTTTTAAATTTCTAAAATCGGTTCAGGCGTTTTTGAGAAAACGTCGATCAAAAGTCTAATTTTGACAAATGCCAAAAAGACCATACTGATTTTTGCAAACTTTGACGAATTTTTAAAGCTAAACCAGTTGTCGTAGAGCCGTAATATTTTAGTATGATCTAGAAGACTATGGTATCTATCGTCAAAAAAATAATCATAAAAATCGTCGAAATTTTTTTTTAAAAAACTTTATTACAAGAAAACGGCCCGGCCGATCTCTACCAAAAACTAATCAGCACGATTCCCAACCAATATCTATCGAACGGTTTTTGAATTTTAAAAATCGATTCAGAATTGCGGGCTAAAACGTAGACGAAAAATTTTTCACTTTTCTGCCATTTATAAAGAAACGGCTTGGCCGATCGTCGCACAAAACTGACAAACAATAGTTCTCGTCGAGATACATCGAATGGCTTTTAAATTTTTGAAATCGACCCAGCCGTTTTCGAGAAAACGTCGATTTACGGCAAAAAATCTGTTCACATACACACACACACACACACATACTTTTTTCCAAATTTGGTCTCATTCGATTCAGAATGGCTTGAAACGTCGAGAAAACATAAAATTGGCGAATCGGATTTTTTTATGAAAACATAAACTTCTCCTTCGGGAAGTTAAGAATGCAACGGTTTTTTATGTGATATTTTCGCCAAAATATTTTATATCATACAGATTACCCCTGTGTAATCTTTATTTTTTCTAACTTTATACATAACTAGCAAACCCGACGAACTCCGTTTCGCCACCAGATGGTTTCGTGAGAAAGATGAAGAAATTTTTTGTTTGTTTTATATTTTAAAAGGAAAATTTTGATTTTATCATACAATAGTAACGAATTTATTTTGATTACAAAAATGAAGTGTTGTTTAGTTGAACTTCTCTAAGTAAATGAAAGTGAATCCGTTTGGGCAAATTATCCGTTTCATGGAAGTGATCTTTGGTAAACCACATTTTTTGTTTTTGGTCTGACGTTAATACAAACAAAGCGGATGGTTTTCCAACTCGTGAACAGGCAACGTATAACTGCCCATGTGAAAAACAATGATTTTCTAAATCATCTATTTGAAATTTATCCCGCAAACACTAAGCGATTGGTCTTGCGACATGTTATTGCGAACGCAAGGCGAACTGGATATTGCAATCGTTTGAAGTCAAACGGAAGACCAGTCAGAATCATTGGTATGTCAGCAAATCGTCAGCAATTTTTTATTGAATGGTGAAATTCAGGGCGTGTACATCATTATTCTTTGCGGCAAGAATTGCTCGTTGACTTAACCAAGCATAATTCTGATAATTCTCAATAATGTCATTACTCGAATTTTTAATTACGGTGCGTAAAGTTCCAGCAGCTTGCATTAAGGCACGATGCCATGCACAACTAATTTTCTTAGCTATAAACCTTGCGGAGCCCGAGACCTTTCCAACTAATGCAAAATTGTCGAAATCGGAATTTTTAATTACGGTGCGTGAAGTTCCAGCAGCTTGCATTAAGGCACGATGCCATGCACAACTAATTTTCTTAGCTATAAACCTTGCGGAGCCCGAGACCTTTCCAGCGAATGCAAAATTGTCGAAATCGGTTCAAGCGTTCTGGAGTTATTTCGTCAGGAAGGAAAACCCGACTTATTTTTATATATATAGAAGAAAATTATGATAATTACTAAATATTTTTGCTTCTTATTACAATTATAAAATATTATTTTTCAAAAACGTTTTGAAAATTGAAAATACTATAGAAACATCACATTTTTTTAAATAACAATACTTAACAATTATAGTAACTTATTATTTAACTCGACAAAGTATACGATCTTAAATTAGTGTAGAAAAATTATTTTTTTAAAATATTGGAGATTATGCTAATTTAACACATCGGATACAGACAATACAGTTTATTAAAATAATGTAAAATGATCTTTTATGAGTTTTTGGTCTTTCTTACTCATAAGTTTGTTTTTGGAGATAAGTACTCAATATACTCGATAGTGATAATGAATTAATTAAACTGGATATACTTTTGTTAAATTATTATTTCAAAAAATAAACTTATTGTTTTATTTTATTGTTTTTATTGTTTAGTTGAATATAGTTGTAGTTGTATATACATTATTGCATTCCCTAATATATACAAAGAGCAGAAATAGAGACAGTTGAAAAATTCACAATATCCGTAAAATAAAAAATATTTATAACTTACCGGTTTGCAATTTTTGCCAGCAATTAAAACTGTTACTTCACCTCCAATTTTTGATGCAGCTGTTAAAGCATTTTGAGTCAATGGGTTTAATTTTGCATTTGAATGTTCAGCAATTACTAATGTGCTTTGTAAACGAAATTGCTGTAATGTAATTGGCATGATGCCATTAAGAAAACTATCATTAGTAAATTTGATGATGGTTATTATAATATAAGAATATCTTATTATAATAATTTTCAATAGTTTTTATTAAACTTATGTCAAAATAAACTTATTTTAAAAATTAATGTTAATACTAACTTATGTTAAATATCATCACTCTTTAACTTATAGATTGTATTGTAATTTGACTGTTAAAAGTAGCAACAAAAAAAATGATAAATATGAACGGACACTTTCATTGTATTAATGTAAGATTCAGTGTAGAAAAGAAAACATCAAATGAAAAACTGTGATTATTTCCAAGTACATTTGACTTATAAAATGCATACTGCTGGGCTTTCTATTTTGCAGCTTCCATGGGTTAAACAGCGAATAAATTCAAGTATCAATTATATAACTGTGGGTCCAAAAGTTATGACACAAATTTTGTATTACACTAAAATAATCTCTTTAAACCATGTATTATATTTATTAGTGTTATATCTTCCTACCTGCAGCGAATTTAAGAATACAGATGAAGTATATGAGGCACGTGATAACATTTTTGAAGCACAAATCTTAATGCACTATAAATCTAAATCATAAATACAAATAAGAATTTGTTCTTAACACGACCTCTAATTTGAAAGGTTAACCACAAATAAAAATGACACAGTAAATAGCAATCACACTCTGTTGTTGGAACTAATGTCCATAGGTAAAAGATATTGTAAGTCAGGAGGCAGCGCAGTTCAAACAAATTCGGTGATCCGTAAAATGTTTCTTGTTTCACACACGTAGCGCTAGTAAACAAACGTGTGTGACTGCAGCGCCAGACTAATAATTAAAGAACTACGGGAGGCTATCAATGTGCGCTTTTCATGTGTTTTTATATGTTTGTGAAAGAAAAAGGTTATTAAAGAAATGTTATAAATAATATTAAACAAGTTGCAACAAAAAAGTGAAAGTTGAATGGTTATTGACAATTTAAAATTTACTTCAACGTACTTAAAACACAGATAAGCACAATGATAAAACAAATAAAGAAATGCACTAAACATTTATGTGGTTGAGTTGCTTAACAGTTCTTAAAAACAAAATTATAACAAGTGGGGTGTATGGCCTCGTGGGCGTATGGTCTCTACCTTTGCCAGAAATTATTTACCACGTTCTCTTATTAATAGAAATCGAATGCTTTTTGAATCGTGCTCTGAAAACATCATCAACTAGAGGTGCATGGCATCGTGGCTTAAGGCAAATTGCTCGAACTTCCCGTACTTTAATGAAATATTCAAGAAATTTTAAACGTTTTCAAATATATTATTACAAATACTGTAACTCATTATTTTTGCTATCTTGTTTTATCTGAGCAAATCAAATGTAAATCATAAATCAATTTATCTCCAGAACATTAACAATCGTCATTTCATTTCAAATTCAATTTAAAAAAAAATAGTTGCCTATAATTTGCACAAAATTGATAAAGTGCTCCGCAGTCTAAACGCATTTGAAAATAATTCTGTGCGACATTTTCACTTATACTGTGTTTAGCTTGGCGGCATTTTCACATTTTTCAATAGTTCTATTCAGAATAGAACATCTATTGTGATTAATTTTTGCTACTAAAAATATTTTTGCTAGTCTTAAAAATATAATAGTTGAAATGTCGATATATAAAATTTTGAACAATTTTTAATAATTTGCAAATATCATAATAGTTTGAAAATTTGTAAATTTAAAAAAAGTAAATTCAGTGCATTTAATTTGTAATTCAATAACTCCTTCTCCTTTTGGAAACACATTCATAATTTTGTATTAATCAATTGCTTATTAGTCTGTGATTAATTTAATACCGATTAAATAAAATATATGTGTAGTTTTAATTCTTTATTATAGAAAAATTACATTTTTTTTAAATTTAAGAATTAAAGGTTTATCTATTTAGAAAAAATAATCGGAACGGAATGTAACTTATATTTATTGAAACTACTTGAACCTTTTTCAATCTACTTTCTAATTGCAGAAAGATACTACGCATTCCCCATTCCTCGTGCAGCGATGATTCGCACTTAAACGGTTAAAATTGCTGGCTTTAATTTAGACTTTTTTAATGATACTTTTTTAGTTTTAGACAAATTGAATTAAGATTAAAGATAAATTCAGTTAACCCCTTAACTTAAAATGACGAGCAGAGCCCGCGTGCGATTGCTAGGCCAAAAGTGAATATTACGGGCATAACCCGCGTACGATATTAGGGAAAGAAGCAAATATTACGCATTTCGGGCATGGCCCGGTATGGTGAACGCAAGTATTACAAAATATTTTTTCATATAAAACTATAAAACACAAAATTATTTTTACTTTTGTGATAAACCGTACACTATGCGAGAAAATAGTGACAAACGCCGCGCCAGCTTGAACAACTTTGGGCCGACATTTTCGAATCTAAATCGTAAGTTAAAGGGTTAACAGTTAAATTTAATCTCTACCCCTCATAAGAAACTATGCAAATTTTAAGGAATTTACAGAGACTTACTATTATATAATATCTTCTGTATAGTCTTTATTGTTTATGTTAATTAATCAGAATCTGATGACATGGTAGATCCAACATTTTCTGAAACTCGCCGATCATTTTTTACGCTATTTGAGAAATTTCCTCGATAACACACAGAATTTTTATCAGTCTCCCTTAAACGAACTTCATGCAGCAGTTCTGGACGAGGTAGTAAACTCTTCAAACTGTTCCAAATAAATATCGCAAGATTTTCAGTCGTACTTATCTAAAAAAAAAATCGATCGTTAGAAAGTATCATTACACACACACACACACACACACACACACACACACATATATATATATATATATATATATATATATATATCTTGATAGTTTTTTCGACGTTGAAACATATTTCAAAGTAACTAGCAGCCCATTCGTCGAAATAAAAAAGGTATAAAGTATGAAAACTTTTATTTATACGTTTCGACACAAGATGCGTGTCATCATTCAGCAACACAGGACAAAAACACTCAATAAAAACTTTATTTTAAAAAATTAAACTGATAACATATTAGAAACTCAACTCAACTGTGACAGTTGAGTATGGTGCTCGGTATGGGCGTGTTTCTTGCCTCACAATGTTAAATTTCAAAACTTTTAATCAAATTAGTTTTCAAATCTTTTAGTTATTCATAATTTTTTCTACAAAAATGTTTTTTTCTAATATGTTATCAGTTTAATTTTTTAAAATAAAGTTTTTATTGAGTGTTTTTGTCCTGTGTTGCTGAATGATGACACGCATCTTGTGTCGAAACGTATAAATAAAAGTTTTCATACTTTATACCTTTTTTATTTCGACGAATGGGCTGCTAGTTACTTTGAATATATATATATATATATATATATATATATATATATATATATATATATATATAGAATTTTATGATATGAGTGGAACGAATATTAATTGTTTAATATGAACAAAACAGCACTCAGATTTGTTTAACACAACTTTATTTTATGATTACAGACGTTTCGAGACCATGGTGTGTCTCATCTTCAGTGTAATTTCAAAAACAGTTACTTATATACTACACATTCTTTAATAATTTATTTAAATTTCATTTAATTTTTGGTATACAAAAAACACCAACTATTCCTTGCAATGCTTGACACAATACTAAAGAAACATATAACACTTACAGAAATATTCTAAACAAATTTGAAGTACTTATATAGATGGAGACAGAGAGGGTATCATTATAATGTAAACAAAAGGAGTGCTATCGCATACAAAATCGATAAAAATGAAAAAAACAAATTAATTTATTGAAAAGAATAAGATAAATGAAAAAATTTATAAATTATTAATGATGTTTATATAAGTGTCATGTAAAATATTTGTGTCGGTTCTTAGATTTATGCTATTGTTAGTCCGAACTATTAACATTGATTCTGCCATGCTCCGTTTAAATAAGTCTTTCTCATGGAATAAAATTTGGGGATTGTCAAAATCAAACTTATGGTTGTTGATATTAGCATGATCCACAAGTGTACTTTTAAATTTTTTGTTATCTATTTTTTCACATTGTAATTCATGTTGCCTGAGTCTCTTTTCTAAGTTCTGGCAGGTCTGGCCAATATAAGAGCAATTACAATCCAAACAATTTACTTTATAAACTATATCTTTCTTTTTTGTTAATGGAGTGTTTTTTGTATACCAAAAATTAAATGAAATTTAAATAAATTATTAAAGAATGTGTAGTATATAAGTAACTGTTTTTGAAATTACACTGAAGATGAGACACACCATGGTCTCGAAACGTCTGTAATCATAAAATAAAGTTGTGTTAAACAAATCTGAGTGCTGTTTTGTTCATATTAAACAATTAATACATATATATATATATATATATAAAAGGTTTTTTAATAAACTATTTATTTATTTATTTATTTATTTGCTGTCGACGTTTCGGAACTAGGTACGTTCCATCTTCAGTACATCTGTCAAGAAACATGATCTTGATGAAATTTAAGCAAACAATATGTTTAAGAAAAGAAAATGGATTTTTCTTAAATAATAAATTAGTTGAAAAAATAAAATAATAATGTACAGAAATATAGTAATATGATCAAAATGAAAATGATAAAAATAAATTACAAACAGCCGATCTCATAACATCGAGAGAATAATATATTGTTTGGTCTTCAAATAACGATTTTAAAAAAGACAGAACTTATAGTAATTTTGATTTACTAAATTTACCTATTCGGCTGACAAATAACTCATAAATTCAATTTTTGATAAAATCTTTTTTAGTGAAAAAGTAATAACGTATATTCAAACATACAGGTAATTAATTCAATTCTGTCATTAACCTTTTCTTAAAATTTTCCAAAACTTTCAAATTTTTTTTATCATTTGTAATATCCTGTTATATAATCCACTCATTTATTTTTATCATTTTCATTTTGATCATATTACCATATTTCTGTACATTATTATTTTATTTTTTCAACTAATTTATTAATTAAAAATCCATTTTCTTTTTTAACACATATCGTTTGCTTAAATCTCATCAAGATCATGTTTCTTGACAGATGTCCTGAAGATGGAACGTACCTAGTTCCGAAACGTCGACAGTAAATAAATAAATAAAGAAAGAAATAGTTTATTAAAAACCTTTTTTTTTGTTTTTTATTACTTTTTGGATTCTTGTTCGAAACTCTACAAAATATATATATATATATATATATATATATCGATATTCAAAAAAAAATTTTTTATAAAAAAAATTTTGAAAAAAAAATTAGAAACAAAAATTTTTTTCCAAAAGCAATTATTTTGTTGAAACAAGCAGAAAGTTCTTTGAATCATTAAAATCGGACGCTTAGTTCTCTCAAAAACTGCCATTTTTTGTACATTTAGCTCCGTATCTTCGAAATAGCTGGGCCTGCCTTTGCGAAAAACTAATAACCACTTCTCCCAATCATTACTAATTGAATGTTTTTAGATCATTCAAATCGGATGCTCCGTTCTCTCAAAAACTCGATTTCTATTTTCTGCACTCTTTGCTCTTTATCTCCGTAACTGCTGGACCTGCCTTTGCCAAAAACTAATCAGCACATCTCCTTATCAATAGGAATCGAATGTTTTTTGAACCATTCAAATCGGTTGATCCGTACGCCCGAAAACGTGGGCGAAAAATTGTATCCATACATACATACACACGCACACACACATACATCCATTTTTTCTGAAGTATGCCAAAATGTTCAGAAACCTTCAAAACGTCGAGAAATGTAAAAATTTTCAATTCCGATTTTCGGCCCATTACAATAACTTAAAGGAAGTTAAAAATAGTATAAAGAAAAGTATAAACTGTTATCAAACTTCTAATCAGAATTCTGATTCTAATCAGAATCTATTCACACTCCAGTGCCTCATTTTTAATTTTAGAGGGATTTTAGGAAATAATAGCTACATCATTCAACCAATGCAAATATAAATTTTATGGGTACATTTTTACAGTGATACTACATTATATAGCATTGATCTGGTATTTTGCCAGAAATAATAATTAGCAGATTTGGAATACCTATTTATTTAACTTATCATTTATGAAATTGATTTTTTAAAACTTAGATTTCTTGGGTTTTCACTATTTTTCTTGTTTACACCTTTGCCAGGGTAAAGATTCAGATGGTACTTTTTACGATACCCACATGTACCCTGTTATATTAGTTGTGTAAAAAAACTAATGAATCTAACTTAAAAAAAATAGCAATACATCTTATAAAACATTTGAATTACGTGGACTTATTCAAAGTCTCGTAATCTAAATAACAGTGCTCACAACCAAAAAATTAAACATAAACTTCTCCTTCGGGAAGTTAATAACTAAAGAAAATACATTTTTTATGTCGATTATCTCCCATTACCTCCCACGTCGTAAAATTCAAGGTGATGGCTGGTCACACATCTTTATCCATCTTTCAAATATTGTTATTAACTAGTGGTGTATGGCATCGTACCTTAAGGCAAATTGCTGGAACTTTCCGTACCGTAATGAAATATTCGAGAAACTTTAAACGTTTTCAAATATATTATTAGAAATACTGTAACTTTCATTATTTTTGCTATCTTGTTATATCTGATCAAATCAAATGTAAATCATAAATAAATCAATTTATCTCCAGAACATTAACAATCGTCATTTCATTTCGAATTCATTTTCAAAAAAATTGAAAGTTGCCTAATTTACACAAAATTGAAAAAGTGCTAGTCACAGTCTAAACGCATTCGCGAATAATTCTGTGCGACATTTTCACTTATACTGTGCTCAGCTTGGCGGCATTTTCACATTTTTCAATGTTTTCACAAAATTGGAAAAGTGCTCTAAACGCACTTGGGTAACATTTGTACCAGAGTGGCGTTTAGACTGTGCTTAGCCTGGGTAATTTTTTGAATTTTTAATCCAAAATTACAAAAATATTTTTTGAAAAAAAAAATTAGAAACATTTTTTTTCCAAAAGCAATTATTTTGTTGAAACAAGCAGAAAGTTGTTTGAATCATTTAAATCGGACGCTTAGTTCTCTCAAAACTGCCATTTTTTCAACATTTAGCTCCGTATCTCCAAAACCGCTGGGCCTACCTTTGCCAAAAATTAATAACCACTTCTCCCAATCATTACGAACTGAATGTTTTTTGGATCATACAAATCGGATGATCCGTTCTCTCAAAAACTCGATTTCTATTTCCTGCACTCTTTGCTCCCTATCTCCGTAACGGCTGGACCTGCCTTTGCCAAAAACTAATCAGCACAACTCCCTATCAATATGAATCGAATGTTTTTGAAACCATTCAAATCGGTTGATCCGTGCGCCCGAAATCGTGGACGAAAAAATGCGGACATACAAAACACACACATAAACACACACACATCCATTTTTTCTTAGGTATGCCAAAATGTTCAGAAACCTTCAAAACGTCGAAAAATGCAAAAATTTTCATTTTCGATTTTCGGCCCATTACTATAACAACCCTACGTGAAGTTAAAAATTCTGAACTTCACTTGTTTTTGAGATATCGGTGGTGGACCTTCTTACCCGCGGACTTTAAAGCCCCTGCTCTATCCTATAACATTCCGAACAACTAACAATAATATGTTTTAAATAATTATATAAAGTAATATATAAAAATATTTAACAAATTCATTAAAATCACAACAAAAAATAAAGTTTTTTCTAACAATGTATGCACAGATAAAATATGATGATTAAAATTTCAATAGTTGAATACATCAATAAAAATATTCAAAGACTTCTTACCACACTTTGAAAATATGGGACATCCTTATCTAAATTCTTGTGATCTAGAGGCTGCATAATTGCTTCATCCATATATTTCTTCAGTTCTGAGATATTCATAACCATTCCTGTGTGCGGATCAACAGGCCCTTTAAGAACTACTTCGACTGAAATTAATTTCGGTTTAAGTTCTAAAAATATTGCTTATTTCATATTTTTATTTTCTTAAAATTAAATCATAAATTCTATCATAACAAAACTGCATTAAACGCAATTTACCTTATCCCAAAAGAAATACCCATACACTATTGGCAGACATTTATAATAATATAATTCAAATAATATTGTTAATAAACTAGTTGGTAATAAGTACTCTATGTTATATCAAGTAAATCGTCTGATTTTAATTATAACAAACGTCAAAAAAAACTCATTTTCTCAAACTTTGATGAATTTTTAAAACTAAACTACTTGTCGGCCGTAATATTTATTACTAATAAGTTTTATAAGACCATGATGGCCAAAAAAAAGTTCCATAAAAATCGGCTTAAATTTTTTTCAACAGTTAATTACAAGAAAATTCCCAAATTATATCTTTCGAACAGTTTTTGATTTTTTAAAATCGATTCGGTAGTATGAGCTCAAATGTGGACGAAAAGTTCAACACTTTTTTACCAAATTACAAAGAAATGGCTCGGCCGATCGCTGCACAAAACTGAGAAAAGATAATCTACATCAAATACATCGATTGGCTTTTAAATGTTTGAAATTGGTTCAGGCGTTTTTGAGCAAACGTCGACGAAAGTTATAATTTTGACAAAAGCCAAACAATCGACACTAATTTTTGCAAACTTTGACGATTTTTTTAAAATTAAACGACTTGTCGAAGACCGTAATATTTTAGTATGATCTATAAGACTATGGTATCTACCGTCAAAGAAAAATTCATAAAAATCGTCAAAAAAAATTTTTTTTAAATACTTTATTACAAGAAAACGGCCCGTCCGATCTTTACCAAAAACTAATCAGCACGATTCCCAACCGATGTCTTTCGAACGGTTTTTGAATTTTCAGAATCGATTCAGAATTGCGGGCTAAAACGTGGACGAAATTTTTTTCACTTTTCTGCGATTTACAAAGAAACGGCCCGGCCGATCGTCGCACAAGACTGAGAAACGCTAGTCCTCATCGAGATACATCGAATGGCTTTTAATTTTTGAAATCGGTCGAACCGTTTTTAAGAAAACGTCGATTTACGGCAAAAAATCTGTTCACAAACACGCACACACACACACATACACACACACAAACTTTTTCCAAATTTGTTCTCACTCGATTCAGAATGGCTTGAAACGTCGAGAAAACATAAAATTAGCGAATCGGATTTTTTGATAAAAACATAAACTTCTCCTTCAGGAAGTTAATAAACTTTAACTCATTTTATTTATTATTCAATTTTATGTGTAATACTACACAACAATTTTTACAAACATATCTTGTTTCGGTCAGCAACGTTCGGCCATAATAACACGAGTTAACTCGAGTCAACTAACAAAAATAGAGTATAGATAAGTACCATAGAAAATTAAGGGGGTATTTGGGTGTATATTCTAGTGTAGAGCGATGAATTTTAGGTCATTTTTAAAGTATCGTAAAAGAAAGCAATGAATGTTTTTACTATCCATTTTTTACCACTTGTTTATTAATATTATTAAAATACAATACAAAAATTAAAAAATAAAGTTGAAAATTTTAAAAACTGGCAGCTGATGAAGTGGGTGGTCTCAAAAAATTGGCACCTCAGTCTTGACATGATTTTAGCCCTCCTAGCCATACGAAATAAAAGAAATAAAAAGATTATTAATCTACAATGATGTCGCAATCGCCCGAACTAGTGATGAGTAAAAAAATTTTTTTTACAAATTGGCACCTGTTTGAAAAAAAAGTATTTTTTTTTCTTTCTTTTACTGTTTTTATGATTTTCTCAAATTTTTTAAAAATAGTAAAAATTGGAATTTGGGGATAATCTTAGTTCGGGCTATAGATAGGTCTATAAACAAGACTCTCTGAAAATTTCAGGTGAATCGGTCGATTAAAACTCGAGAAATCGTGTCAACAGTACTGAAAAAGTCTGTTCTGAGAAAAACGCATTTAAAGTTTTGCGTGAAACCAAACCAGTATGGAAACCGAGTCAGTAAAATGCCTATATCTCCGAAATTATTCAAATTTTCAAAAACCTTCTCATACCCATATTCTTAGATAGTTAAACTATGAAAATATGAAATAATAAAATGATTTTTTGAATTTATACAATAGAATATCATCCCCTTAAAGGTAGAGGATGATTACGAAGCCTAGGTGTTCTCTTAGGTTTGGAAATCGCGGTACTATCAGTACAAATAGTACTGAAAAGTCGTCATAATATAGATAATGCATAAACAAAGAATTAATTTACTTGAGACTTTCGTGTTTAAAATCAAATTCTATAAATATTTTTAATAAACTTGAATTATGAATAAAACAATGAGATTTGCTAAAATAATAAGTTACCTGTATAATTATGACCATGACCATTATAATTGTTGCATTTTCCATATAACGCTTCATTTGCCTCCGGAGATAACAATAAGCTGAAAAATATAATGTATAAATGACATTACATAAATACTATTAATATATTAATATATATATATATATATAATATATATATATAATATATATATATATATATATATATATATATAGTCCTTTTGGTGGTCAAAAATGATCATTAGACATATGCATATCAAATTATCAGATATTTTATAGAGGTTTTCATAATGTTGTACACATTTTGTGTAAATTTATTGGGATCCGTACCAAGATTTTTAATTTTGAAGTTTATTTATATGGTCCAAACAAATGTACTCGACATTTTCGACAGTATGGAATAACCGATTTGGATAATTTAAAAATAATTCGATTCGTATCGATAAGGAGACGTACTTCATCTTGTCAATACAAGTAAAATGTTTTTTGAATTATTAAAATTATTCTCTTAAAAACTGAGTTACCGTTTTTGGCACTTTTTGCCCCGTAGCTTCAGAACGGCTAGACCCGCCTCCGCCAAAATCTAATCAGCACGTGTCCTTATTAATAGGAATCGAATGTTTTTTGAATGATTAAAATCGGTTGAACCGTGTTCCCGAAATAGTCGACGAAATTTGTAACCGCACGCACACACACACATACATCCGATTTTTCTAAGGTGTGCCAAAATATTCAGAAACCTTTGAAAACGTCGAGAAATGCAAAAAATTTTATTTTCGATTTTTTTGCGATTACTATAACTTGCCCTACGCGAAGTTAAATATTTAGAATCACCTGTGCAATCGATGACAAGCGCTGAACGTTTCTTTCCTGGTGAGATAAATCACTGGCAATGACATTGTAAATGTGGTTTTTCAATACTGCAAATTTTATTATGTTTAATATAATTTTTATATAAAAAAACAATAACAGATTTACACACACATGCACAACACACACACACACACACACATATCTTATATATAAAATTTCTGTAACAATGTAAGTTTCATTAATCCTCCTAAACTATAATTGGATTTCACGAACCTTCCTGAAGTTTGTTCGAGAAATTTTCTAGAATGTTTTGATTCATAGAAATATAGTTAGATTGTAGAAATAAATGGAAAAATTACAAAAAACCGCTTATCATTGTTTGACTTTAAAATATTTAAGGCACGGTTTGACATTAAAAACAAATGACAACTTTCATCTTTCAAACATTTCTATTCACTTATAGGCTAAGGCAATATTAAAATATAATTAATTCATGAATAAAAATAAAGAAAATGTAATGTCTACATTATTATTGTCGAAAAGCAACTGAGATGTGCCATAATTAAAATAATATAAGATGCAAATAATATA